CCGAGGAGTGGAAAACCAGTTTCCTGAAACCACCATAACCAGCACTGACAGAGGCCAAGCTTCAGCTGCCTGCCCAGAGGGATCTCCAGCCGATCATAACATGGTTACTGTATGATGGCTGACACGCCTACTCCCATCACATACCTGCTGGCATGACTCTTTCGAGATTTCCAAAAATGGTAAGGAAATGGGCAGATCTCAGATGTCACTGCCCCGCCCCACCAAAAAAAAACATGCCCTATGAATATTCAAGTAAACACTGGCCCAGGGGCCAAACACATGCCTCCAGATCAGAGGTGACCCCGAACTTCGTGTACATCTTCAGCCAGAAGGTCTTCATTCTGTGCTAACCTTTACATTCTGTGTCACAGACAAGCACTTGAACTTAGCCCACAGATGACATCCGGACCCAGAAGTCCTGTGACACAGCTGGAACTCAGGTACATTCCAGTTAGTTAACCCTCAGGAGACATTTTGATGAACAGAAAAAAGAAAGCATGGACAATTCTACCAGGCAACTTCTCTGGGGAAGGGGGCTCCTTTGTCTACAACGAGCACAAACCCAGCAGTGCCTACTTTGCTGGCCTGGCTTGTCGTGCCAGCCCAAGGGAGGAGGCCCCATGCCCCTGCACAGGAAGAACTGGAGGGCACCGGGGCACACACTCAGGACTCTGGCACGGGGAAGGAACACATCTTTGCCAGCTATGGTGGGGAGGAACTGGGGCTTGTCCCATCTGTCATGCTGAGTCATCCATGGAAAGTACACTAATGACCGGGCCACACACTGCACCACCTAAGAGCCAGGCCTTGTAAAAGCTGACCTTTAGTCCAGGAAAAGCTCCTCTATCGGTATCGGAGAAACTGGCCGAGTTTTGCCTTGTCAGCAACTGGCCAAGTGTAAGATGTAGGAAAACCCTCATGCCCGCTCAGGAAAGGGACCAAACCAGACGATGGGGACACATGTTTGCACATTTGTGGCAAACATTATCGTGAAGTTGAACAACACCAACAGTAGCTAGAAAGATTGTAAATGGGCAAACGTCAAGGCCAGCATTGTGGTACAGCCGGCTAAGCCACTTCTGGCACACCAGAGCCTAATCTGAGCGCTTGTTTAAGTCCCAGCTACACCCCTGCTAACACACTGGGGAAGGCAACAAGAATGCCCAAGTGTTTGGGCCCTGGCACGCATGTGGAGGAGACCAGATGAAGCTCCTGACTCCTGATTAGAAGAACAGTAGGCCAGATCCAGCATGGTAGCCTAAGACTTTAAGGTCCTCACCTTGCACGTGCCTGGATCCCATATGAGCTGCAATTCATGTCCCGGATCCTCCACTTCCCATCCAGTCCCTGCTTGTGGCCTGGGAAAGCAGTCAAGGACGGCCCAAAGCCTTGGGACCCTGTACCCTCGAAGCAGACGCAGAAGAGCTCCTGTCTCCTGGCTTTGGATTGGTGCAGTTCCAGCTGTTGTGGTCACTTAGGGAGTGAATCATCGGATGGAAGAGTTTTCTTTCTGTCTCTCCTCCTCTCTGTATATCTGACTTTGCAATAAAAAATAAATGCTAAAAAAAAAAAAAAAAAAGGCAGTACCCTAGGCCAAGAACTACTTGGGAAGTGAACCAGTAGACAGCAGACTGACCATCTCTGGCTCTGTCTTGGTGTGCGCGACTCTGTCACTCTGCCTTTCAAATAAATACATTTTTTAAAAAGATTTACTTTTTATTGGGAAGACAGATTTTCAGAGAAGGAAAGACAGAACAATCTTCCATCTGCGGGTTCACTCCCCAGATGGCCACAATGGTCAAGGCCGAGCTGATCCAAAGCCAGGAGCCTGGAGTTTCTTCCAGGTCTCCTAAGTGGGTGCAGGGTCCCAAGAACTTGGGCCGTCCTTGACTACTTTCCTTTCCCAGGCCACAAGCAGGAAGCTGGATGGGAAGTGGAGCAGTGGAGATACAAACGGGTGCCCATATGCGAAACCAGCACACACAAGCAGAGGATCAGCCAGTTGAGTCATCATGCTGTCCCCAAATAAACACACTAATAGTCTTAAGAGACATACATATGTACATAAATGAGTAAACTTTGGAAAATACTTTGGTAGTACCTTATAAAGATCTACATTTATAAGCTCCACTCTCAATGTTCCACTCTTGTGTTCACACCCATAGGAAAACTCATACAAGCATGGGAGACACCAAAATATTCCTGAGGAATCCACAATCCCAGTACTATGCATGTAACCAAAGGAAAGGAACGCACCTGCCAAAGAGACAGATGCAGCCCACATAATCACAGCAGCGTAGATATGGAATGCGCCCACATTCGTCAACGGATGAATGGACAAAGGGCATGTGTTACATGTACCCAACAGAGCATCACTCAGCCATGAAAAATACAATCTAGTCCTTTGTGGCCACTGGTTTCTTCCATCTGCTAGTTCACTCCCCAAGTGACAGCGACAGCCACAGCTGAGCCAATCCAAAGCCAGGAACCAGGAGCCTCTTCCAGGTATCCCATGGAGGTACAGGGTCCCAAAGCTTTAGGCCATCTTCTACTACTTTCTCAGGTCTCAAGCAGGGAGCTGGATGGGAAGTGGAGCAGCTGGGCCACAAACTGGCACCCATATGGAATCCTGGCACATGCAAAGTGGGGATTTAGCCACTGGGCCATTGCAAAATGGTTTTGAAGACCTGGCAAAATGGCTCGATGGGTTAATCCTCCACCTCCTGACAAAAATTGAAGACTGGGAATATCTAGGGCAGGAAAGATGTTGGGGAACGAGCAATTTTACCTACCATCCATCCCTTAGTGGAAACAGCAGTGGCTTTAAAACCAAGTCAGCATGGCAACACAGAGTAAACCTTTGGATATGCACACCTGATGGCCAGTTCTAGAAATCTATCTTACGCAAATACCTGCAAAAGTGCATCCACATCCGTACAAGACTGTTCCCCGCAGTGGTATTTACAATAAAACAAACACTGGCAGGCGTATTTAACGATACGTAAGATGTCATTGCAGTGTATAACAGTAAGCCATGAAAGCAATTAAAACATCTATAATTGGAAGAATGAAGTCTGGCATATTCATTGGCCTCTAAAAGCACTATGTGTACCAACAGACTTGGAAAGATGTTCAGAAAACACAGAGATTTTAAACAAGCAAACCGCAGGAGCTGCCATGCCTTACAAGTGCCAGCTTGAGTCCCGGCTACTCCAGTTCTAACCGCACTTCCTGCTAATGTGCTTGGGAAAGCAGCAAAGGATGGCTCAAGTGCTTGGGTCCCCGCATCCTAGTGGGAGACCCAGAGGAAGCTCCTGGCTCCTGGCTCGGGCCTGGCTCAGACCTGGCCTTGGCAGCTATTTGGGGAGTGGACCAGCAAGTGAAAGATTTTTGTGTCTTCCTCTACCTCTCTAACTCTTTCAAATAAATGCAGTAAATCTTCCCACAACAACCCATCTCCCAACACATTTCACAAACAGCCTTTCTTTCTCAGGCATTCCAGCTGGGGAAACAAGAGGAGAGGGAAAGGAAATGTGTGATTTCATAGCACAGAGACAGTCTGGGGAAGACCACCTGTCCGCTCTTCAACTGTCATCCCTAAGTTCTTTTTTTTATTTTTTAAGATTTATATTTATTACAAAGTCAGATATACGGAGGGGAGGAGAGACAGAGAAAAGATCTTCTGTATGATGATTCACTCCCCAAGTGACCGCAACGGCCAGAGCTGCACCAATCTGAAGCCGGGAGCCTGGAGCTCTTCCGGGTCTCCTACGTGGATGCAGGGTCCCAAGGCTTTGGGCCATCCTTGACTGCTTTCCCAGGCCACAAGCAGGGAGCTGGATGGGAAGCGGGGCTGCCGGGATTAGAACCAGTGCCCGTCGCTTCTCGACCTTTTGGCTAAGATCAAGTGTAGAACCGGTGCCCATACGGGATCTGGGCGCTTCTAAGGCGAGGACGTTAGCCGCGAGGCCACCACGCCGGGCTCCATCCCTAAGTTTTACCTGTTAGCACACACAAACAACAAGCAGGATGTGAAGCAACCCTGGGATGAGCAACATCCAGAGATTCTGGGAAACGCTCTGTAAAAATACTGCCTGGTTAACAGCTAGGCGGTCCTTCCTGCCTAACCAACATCACCATTGCCTGCATGGCTATGTTCTGCCAAACGATCAAGAGCTCCCAGAACTGATTACAACTTGGTTACAATAAAATCAGGTGAGAGGCCAAAGTTCCTTGGTTCTCTGGTACTCCTGGTACTGGCCTCCCTTGAGTAGCAAGGTGTTTGCCTCTCGAAACCTAAAGTAAACAGACCCATCAGCCAGTGAAAACTGACACGCCCAGAAACTCTGGGCGAAACCCTGACGTGATCGCTGCCAGCAGGCCGTCCCGGTGCAGCCACGGGTCTCTGGTGGGGAGCCGCAGCTCAAAGGCAAACATTCCCTGACACCTTCACGCTTCAGGACAGGGAGACACACAAACGAGCTCTTTGTTGAATACTCATTCATTAATTTACTTGAGAGGCACAGTGAAGAGAAGCACGCATACCCATAAACATGCCGACAGAGAGATTTTCCAGCCACATGTTCACTTTCCAAATGCCTACCGCAGCTAGAGCCAGGAGCCAGCAGCTCCATCCAGCTGTCGCACAAGGCAGGCTGTCATCCAAAGCCTAGGGGCCACTGTGGACTCCCCAGGCGTGCTGGCAGGACGCCGGACCTCAGGGTGACAGGCTACAGGGGATGGAGCGCCCCGAGCAGCTTACCCTGTCACACCGCAAGGCTACAGCAGCGCCACGGCAAACCTTCAGCTTTGTAGCCAACACACACGTCACGCCCTTCTGGACTCTCCTAACACTGCTGTCATTTCGCTCTTGAACTAACTTGATGAGAATGTAGTCTGTGTCTCTTGGCTTCATAACAAACGCAAAGTTCAACAAAACATTGAGCATGAAGAGGCCTGGGCCCGTCAGGGAAAGAGGAAAAGTGCTTTTTTACGCTTACCCACTCTTCAACATTGGGGGGCTGCTCGTCATAGATGCGTTCCTTCTCCCATAGAATGTTGGATTTGTCGTAGCGGTCCATCTTTCTTCGAGTTTTCACAGCAAAGAAAATGATTAAAGCAAAAGCCACAAGAATCAAGAACCCTAGTACAATGGCAATGGCCTAAAAAGGGATTGAAGATATTGGCAGGATTAGATTTTAGTTGCTTGCTAGGTAGCAATGCACCTTCTATAAACTCCCCAAGCCCTCACATGCCTGGGAACCTTCGACTAAGTGTCTGTCATTGAATTAGATGGAGACATATGCAAAAATCTAACCCTCACCGACTGGGCCAAGGCCAGGAACACACAGACCCGATCCTCAGGATGTGTTTTAGGGTACGTGTTCCCAGCCTGCAGAGAGCCAGTCCCGACACTCGTGTCCCTAGGGCTGTATTTTTATAAGCAGATACAAAGGGCCAGTGAATGCACTCTGCCATGGTTTGCCCTAATGGGCTTGGCAATGTTATTCTCAAATAGCTTTCGATACCCAGTCATGCTTACAGCCTTGCTCCTAACAGAACCTGGTCAACCCACAGAGGAGAGTAGGCCTTTGTGTAGGAGACACCTCCCACGGAAAGCAAATGGACAGTGACCCCTTTGGCCCCGGAGACCCTCTGTTTCAGACTCTTGGGGATTTAGCAAAGACTGGGGACAAAGAATCCTGTCCGTGCTGGTCCTCCCTGTGTCGGGTGTAGGAAGTGGCGCACTGGCCCAGGAGACTCTCGGAATGGAAGCAGGTGGCTGGCCACTGCCCCGGGGGCCGGATCTTTATCGGGACATTCTTTTCCTTGCAGTAGTCCAAGGACAAAGAGGGATAGGGGTGTGGTGAGATTAGAGGACCAACCCAGTCCCCATCTCCTTATCTTCTCTCAGCAGCAAAAACATTCTAAAGTCTCCAGAGACAACATCCCCACCTCCTAAAGCAGGCCAGGCAGTGATTAGAGCAGCTCTAACCTCCAAAGCTAGCGACTCATCCAGGGAACAGAAAGGGAACTCCTGAGTCGGTGCATGGATGGAAAAAAAGAAGCTGGGACAGTGTCAGGTGTACTCCAATCAGGGTGAGTCAGGGTTGTGGGAGGACAGTGTCCCGCTGCCCCTGCACAATGCAGGGAGGCACCCAGACTCGCTTCTGGGGGAAAAAGACAGCCAGCCAGGCACCCGGCCTGCCAGCCCCCTGTGTGCGCCCTGGCAGAGCTGCAACCGCAAGGCTCACAGCCCAACGTGCGCGCGACGAATGAGAAACTACACTTCATCAAAGAAAACACCTCTGTGCAAAGGACACTACCAAAGGCAAGAGAGGCCAGCAGAACGGGGAAGGCGCGCTGGCAAAATCACCTATCTGATACGGGACTTTCATCCAGATGTGCACGGAATCTTTACAAGCCATCAAGGAAGATGGCCCCATTTGAAAATGGGGGGAGGTTTGTGAAGGGTCATGCCTTCGGGGGTGATCGAGAAATGGCCAAAAATAGGACGCTCACTCTGTCAGCTTCCAAGGAAAGGTCAGTCACGCCCGCAGGGAGCAGCACCGCCCAGGCAGGACTGTGACAGTTAACACGAGAAACGGCTGGGGAGGATGTGGGCAACTGGAATCCTCACACACTCCTGGTGGAAACAGGAAACAGTACAATCTCTTTGGGAAAGCCTGGAAGCTCCTCAAAAGGTTAATCAAAGTCATTACAAGAGCTATCAATTCTGAGCCCAGTGCCGTGGCCTAGCAGCTAATGTCTTCACCTGGAACACTCTGGGATTCCATGTGGGTGCCGGTTCTAATCCCGCAGCCCCGCTTCCCATCTAGCTCCCTGCTTGTGGCCTGGGAAAGCAGTCGAAGACTGCCCAAAGCCTTGGGACCCTGCACCCGTGTGGGAGACCAGGAGAAGTTCCTGGCTCCTGGCTTCAGATAGGTGCAGCACTGGCCATTGTGGTCACTTGGGGAGTGAATCATCGGACTTAGGATCTTCCTCTCTGTCTCGCCTCCTCTCTGTATAGCTGACTTTCCAATAAAATTTTTTTAAAACATTAAATTTAACAACAACAACAAAAAAAAACTATCAACTCTACCCTAGGTATACAACTAATCCAAGAGAGGCAAACACAAGTTTCAGCCCAAAACTTATAAATGTCCATCAACTGATGGATAAATAATGTGTGCGACATTGTATGTTGGGAATATTGGCTGGGACGTGCCGTGTCATGGATAAACCTCAGAAACACTAAGCTAACGGAAAAGACACAAATCACTTGTATGAACTACACAACAGGCAGATCCACGGAAGTAAGATGAGTGTGGCTGCCTTGGGCGGGGGCGGGTTCGAGAAAGGGGAAGTGGCCGCTAGTTGGTACGGTCCTCGGGACAGTAAAAATGTTCTCAACTGGTGGCGTACTTCTGTGACTACACTGAAAAACCACTGGCTCCTTCTTTCAGTGATACGGTAGGTATGTCACTACATCCTGGTCATGAGACCCACGCCCTTCCCCAGGCTCGGACTTAAATCTCAAGTGGGGCCTTGGCATCAATATTTTTAAAAAGTTCCCAGGGCGACTTTGCTATGGGTCCCATGTTGACAGCCTCTGACCTAAGGATGGAGGGGGCAGAAAAAAAAAAATCCCAAACATTCTTCCTTCCTACCTCCTGGGGATCCACCACACAGTAGTGGTACAAATACTGATCCACGTAGAGGCCTGAGACACCAGGCGTGTAGAACTGGTTGCAGAGAGCATAGATTTGTGAGCTGTACATAGATCCGGACGCTTGGGCCGTCGGGTTGACCCCCATGATGTAGACGATGGTGGCGATGAACATCAGGATGCCCAGGATGGCACTCACTATTATCACAGTCAAGTAGTACCTTCTCGTCCTGGCGATTTCCGATCTGATCACGCTGGTAATGAATACCACGAGGGCGAAGATGAAGCAGAAGGCAGCCATGGCCAGCAGGAAGCCCTTGGCCGCTCGCGGATCCGTGTAGGCGCCGTAGCCGTAACCGTAGCCGTAGCCGTAGCCGTAGCCGCTCCCGTAGCTTCCAAAACCGCTGCCGTACGGGTAGCCTATGCCACTCCCCAGCAGGCCAGTACTGTAGGTTCTGTCCCAGGCCAGCGTGGAGGCGACGCAGGCAAATATGGCAATGCACATCACGATGATGAGCATGGACAGGATGCGGATCACTCCCGGCGGGGACGTCCATTTGTAGAAGTGAAGAATCTCATCTTCCGGGTAGAAGGAATACGCCGGCTGGGACAGCATCGGTCGCACGTGCATCTCGCCGCCGTATATGTCATTGCTCGGCGCGTAATGATTCGGCTTGCTGAAACACACACAGCCACTGCGAGTTAGCTTCCGTGCCGGTGGACAGACAGAACGGGTAAAGTACTTGGGATAATTTACACTCTTACCCTCTCCCCAAATACTACAGGTATCTGCGCCATAGAATCACCTGGAAGCATCGTGCAGCAGTTTACTGCCCCGGTCCCAGAACCACTGACTCTATAGGTCTGCGATGGGACACATTTCCAGCTGATGTAGCTGGCCCTGGGGCCACGCAGCAACAGCTCTCATAACGGACTCGACAGAAAGATCGCTCAGGAAACGTCTAGAAAAATCTTGTCTGGAAAACACCAAACGAGTGGAACTGGACTTCCTGGCGATGGCACCCCGGCGGCGTTAGCAGTGTGCACTGGCTTTGCCGCTTTAGTGCAGGACCAAGGCTCTCATCTACAGTGGCCTGGCCAGGGTCATGGGCAGTTCCTGATGAGCTCGCTCTCCTCCCCCAGAAGACACATTCAGCAGGGAGAGTCCACCACAGGGAAGACAACGCTGGCTGGGACGCCTGGATCCCTCAGCCAGAGCTCCTGGGCGCAAACTGCAACTCTGCTCCCCATCCCAGACCCCGCCAATGTGCACGCCACGAGGCTGCAAGGGAGGGCCCCGCTGCCTGGATTCCCATCATCCACATGCAAGTCCTGGAACAAATTCAGTTCAGGTTTCTGGGCTCCCGCCCTGCCTAGCCTGAGCTGTTGTGGAAGGCCGCTCGCTGTTTCTGTTTGTTTGTCAATTTCTGACTCCATGTCTTTCCAATAAACTGACATTTTACGAAGCGCATTCCGGGGTGGGACTTTGGGCGCAGCAGGTCAAGAGGCAACCATATCAGAGCAGAGCTTCGGGTCCTTGTTACTCTGAATTTCCAATACACTTTCCTGTTAATGTGCACAGCAGACAGCAGCCCAAGTACTGGGGTCTCTGCTTTCCATATGAAAGACCCAGGTGAAACTGCTTTCAGCCTGGCTTAGCCCCCAACCCGTTTAACAACGCATTTGGGGAGTGAACCAGTGGATGGAAGCTCTCTGTCTCTTTGTCAGTCTGCCTCTCAAATAAACAAATCTTTCTTACAAACTAGAGTACACTCACTCATCTACCCACCTGACGTCCATATCCTGGAGTTGCTGGCCGGATGTGTACCGGGCTCTGGGCTAGTGAATGGGTTTACAGCAATGATCTCACTCCACTCTGTTTAGGACCCAAGGTACAAGCATCCCGTATGGGTGCCAGTTTGTGTCCATTTCTGCTCCAGCTCTCTGCTTGTGGCCTAGGAAAGCAGAGCAGGGAGGCCCAAGTGCTTCGGCCCTTGTCCAGATGTGGGAGAGCCAGAGGAAGTTCCTGGTTGCTGGTTTAAGCCTGATCTAGTGCCGGCTATTGTAGCCTTTGGGGAAGTGAACCAGCGGACAGAAGATCTGTCTTTCCCTCTCTCAGTCTGTAAATCTACCTTTCAAATAACCAAAATCTTAAAAAGAAATAATTAAACAAAACCCTTAAAGGTAATATTCAAAGAAACAAGACAGGAACAAAGCCATGTAGCACTGTTACATTCAGATCAAGTTTAAGAACAAGTGACACTAAAATGAATCCATATGACACATATGCAGAGAAGGCGAAGTGATGGCCACGCATATGGAGAGCGGGGGTGCAGGGCAGCAGCATCTCCAGTTGCTCTGTCTCATAGGCTGGGTGACACCTGTCCTAACTCAGTACCTCACACACGTGCTGTGGGTCTTTTCCCCGTGGCTCTTACAGCCCTCCTTACTCCCAAAGGCAATTCAAAACAGCAGGAAAATACGGTATAAGCTACCTTCTTCAGTGTCTTCTATGAAGAGATGCATTGATTTGAAAGCCGGGACAACAAAGACAGGGAGCACCACAACCGCCAGGGCTGGGTGGGCTGACATCAGTGGCCAGGAACTCGATTTGGGTCTCCTGCACAGGTGGGAGGGGTGCAAGCACTTGGGGCTCCCTCTGCTGCTTTTCTAGGTGGCTTAGCAGGGAGCTGGATCAGAATTGGAGCACCCGGGACTTCGCCCTGCGCTCAGGTGGGATGCCAGCACTGCACGGAGCAGCTGTGCCACAATACCAGCTCCCTGCCAACACGGCGAAAACCACACCATCACAAACAACCATGTTCCTATCATAGTCAGGCTCCAGGAAGGTCGCTACACCCTCCCTGTGTGTGCTATTGTGAACTCGACATTTGGCCATTGACCCCTTTTCTGCCATCCAACTGCTAAACTCCTTAGACTCTCCAAAGCTGCCAGTGTAGTGATGAATCAACTTGGTTGGCACTGGCAGCCACTGGGAAACTTCAAGGTTGCCTCTGATCGTAGGAGAGACTAGACGGCTGAGAGTTCTCTGCCCCAACCCCAAACCCTAGCGAGGGAAGAGGGACGTGGTGCTGATGTCCAGTGGCCAAGGACTTCATCAATCGCATTCAGTCACAAAGCTTCCATAAAGCCCCCAAAGTGACGCCAGAGATGTTCCTGGAGGCTGGTGTGTGTGTGCGCGCGCGCGCGCGTGTATGTGTGTGTGTGTGTGTGTGTGCGCGCGCGTGTATGTGTGTGTGTGTGTGTGTAGCGGGCCTGGAAGCCCTCGGCCTCTCCCTGGTGTGGGGGTGTGTGTGTGTGTGTGTGTGCGCGTGAGTGTGGAGCGGGCCTGGAAGCCCTCGGCCTCTCCCTGGGGTGTGTGTGTGTGTGTGTGTGTGTGTGTGTGTGTGGAGCGGGCCTGGAAGCCCTCGGCCTCTCCCTGGTGTGTGTGTGTGTGTGTGTGTGTGTGTGTGCGCGCGCGGAGCAGGCCTGGAAGCCCTCGGCCTCTCCCTGGTGCCTGCCCTGTCCCTCTCTCCATCCAGTGTCCACAGGCATCCTTTCTGATGGCCTGACATCCGTGCACCGCTCTAGCTTGGCTGCCGGTGTAGAGAAACCCGCCCCGCCCCAGAAGTCACGCCTGTGTTAGGAGAGTGCCAGAGGAGACCCGAGCTGGCTTTTCCTGCATGACACTCACCACGCTGGCCAAAGACTTGAAGCCTTAGACTACTTACATACTACACGTCGCTACCAACGTTTGGGAACAAGTTTAAAACTGAAGCATGCCTTCATAAAATCCCAAATGATCGAGAACCCCTCATCTTTGCTTTATACTGGGACCCCTCATCTTTGCTTTTTACCATGCTTTTGCAAAAGGACAGGAATCAATTTTTAAATTGGCATTTAACAAAAAAAAAAAAAAACCACATTATGCTAAGTTAAAAGAAGCCAAGTACAAAAGGCCACACAGTGTGTGATTCCATGGAAACATCCGGAGTGTATCAGTTGGTGGTTGCCTACGGCTGGGGGGAATCAGGAAATGCTCCCAATGGGTAAGTTTCTCCAAAAAATGACATCCATGCTCTAACAACTAATGTGCTGATGACGATCGTACAAGCCCGACAACACACTCAAAAACCTAAGCTGGCAGACTGCAATCCAAGCCAGGCATTAGCATTCGCGTCTCATACCATTAGTGGAAAACAAAAAAAGGAAGACACAGACACAAAAACACAAAACTAGACAATCTCTTGAAGAAAACTGGCAGCCAGTGAGAGCAGTCAGCGCTTCAGAGAAAGTCCCCCACCAGCAAAGTCATGGGGAGAGGGACCCACAAATCCCACCGTCCCCAAGCAAACACTTTGCTTTTTAAACACAGGATGGTTCTGAGCAAACCAAGGCCAGAAGTGAGTGGACTTACAATTCATCAGGTCTGTAAGGAGGCGGGCTCTCCAACGGCCGGGAGGACATGGCTGCTGGCGGAGTCGGTGCTCTTCAGGACCAGCGGGGATGCACCAGGGGAAGTTGACCTAAGCACAAGAGTAGAGTGATGCAGTTAGAACCAGGCTCCCAATCTCCTGGCATCGCCGCAGACTCGTCCACCGCCATTCCTACACATGTCACCGCACGTCCCTGAGCACAGGAATCCGAGCCTAGGAGTCAGCCACCCTAGCGTTTCCCACAGCCCCTGTCATTATCTCAGCATTAAACACAACATCTTGGAACTTGGAACTCCAGGGCCTGGCATGGAAGCCTAGCCGCTAAAGTCCTCGCCTAACACACGTTGGGATCGCGTATGGGCACTGGTTTGTGCCCCAGTTGCCCTGCTTCCCATCCAACTCCCTGCTTGTGGCCTGGGAAGGCCGTTGAGGATAGCCCAAAGCCTTGGGGCCCTGCACCCACATGGGAGACCTGGAAGAGGCTCCTGGCTCCTGGCTCCAGATGGGTTCAGCTCTGGCAGTTGTGGCCACTTGGGGAATGAATCATGGGACGCAAGAGCTTCTTCTCTGTCTCTCCTCCTCTCTGTATATCTGACTTTCCAATAAAAAAAAAAGAGAGATAAATAAATCTTTAAACACAAAAACAAACAAACAAGAATCCTTGGAACTCCAAATACACAGCAATGGCAATTTCAGAAAAAAATCATTTTTCACAGGTGCACAAACGGCATCTTTGAACCAGCTACTGCAAGATCAAAAAGGTGAAAGTTCCCTAAAATTTGATCATGCTACTTTCTAAAGTTCATATAAGGTGAGAACACATACTGAAGTGTATGGACAGCCACATCCAGCACACACTGGCCTCTCAACATGATCGACTAAAAGGTTAAAAATGGTGCTTTTATCATCCTCGCCTTCTTTCCCAAGCCTTCAAATTGAGCACCACTTTTACAAAAGGGGCAAACTTGCATTGAAGGAAAAAAAAAAAAGTCTTGCGGTAGGAAAGAAAAGCAAAAAACCATTTTGTTCCAAAATTCCTCAGAGCACAAAGCCAGAACATTTCACTCAATCAACAAGGGCTGATTAAGAGCCTGCACAATACCGAGGCCGTGGGAGGCCCAAGGGGCTGGGCTCCGAAGGTCACACACAAAGGGCTGCCCCACAGGCTGCATAGGGCAGGAAGGAGACAGGCATGGAAGAGTTAAAGAGGAAGGGCCAGCAGCAGGGGGTCCAGGGAGGGAGTGAGGGGGAGCAGGCATCCTTGCTGGCGGGTGCTGCCTCCCAGGCCCACTGGGGAGACAAGGTGGGGATAAGCCAGGCCCCGAGTCTTACAAGGCTAGGGAGGGCTCTGACAGTCTTCTGGAAAGCAAGGAAAGGGAGGCTGTAAGTCCCCTAGACATCCAACTGTAACTACAGAGCCAAGTGGCCTCGGGAAGGAGGTCGGAGAGCCGAGCTAGGAGAGGCAGAGGCGAACCCACACTGCTCAGACACCCGCTGTGACGTCACATTCTCTCCATATCTCAGATCAACCCTCCGGGGGTGGGGAGCTCAGCCACTGCAGGATCAATAAAGGGTGGCAGAGAGGATGAGGGACGATCCCACCAGCTTTCTACTCTCACAGCTCTAGCAGAGGGAGATCTGGAGCCAATGTTGTGGCATAGCTTGCAAGGCTGCAGCCTGCAATGCCAGCATCCCATACCGGCTCCCATTCATGTCATGGTAGCTTCTCCACGTCCTGTCAAGCTCCAGGCCGATGTGTCTGCAAAGAGCAGAAGATCACCCAAGTGGCTGGGTTCCTGCCACTCACAGGGGAGAACCAGATGAAGCTCCTGGCTCCTAACTTTGGAATGGCTCAGCACTGTTAGCCATGGCCATCCGGGCCATGAGCCAGTGCATGGAAACTCTATTAATTCTGATGTTCAAAGAAATAAATTTATTTCAATCCACTGGTTCATTTCCCACACGGTCACAAGGGCTGGGTCTGTGCCAGGCTAAAGCCAAGAGTGTATTTCAATCCTACTATGTGGGTGCAGGTCTCGCATGTAGCCTACAGGGGCCCAAGCACATGGGTCATCTCCCAGCTTCCATTGATTTCCTAGGCACATTAGCAGGGTGTAACCAGGTCTCAAACTGTGTCACTGTGTCAGCAATGGACATCAGAAGGGATTCTTCATCCACAGATTGGCGAGATTGAGAGCTTTTCAGAACTATCGCATCCACCTGGGCAGAATCCTCAGCGCGTGAGCCACACCGTGACCCTGGGTTGATATCAGGTGGCCTTTTCCCATCCTTGGGTACTGGGATGGTTGCGAGGCTGAGTATGGCCAATATCCCCTCATCTCTTCCCTACCCCCAGAAATGAGAAGAAATCAGAAGTTTGGAAACAATGCTCACACCCACTTCTCCCTAACCCTAGATCCTTCACACCCTGATCGACTAGGTAAGCATCATCTCAAATAATAATAATAAAATTAAATTAAAAAATGAGTTCTGTGTGGGCTATCCAAGTCTTTGCATAGAAGAATACCACGTATTTACGTCCATGACGCAATGAAGCTAAAGTAACCTCCCACCGCTCACAGTTGTGGACCCCCGAGCATTAAAAGCTTGCCAGGAATAAAACCAATCTTCTTTCACTGAGATGTGTTCAACACTCTGCCCCCCAAGAGGTTTGAGGTTTCCTCCAGAATACCAGGGCTAGGGATCCTGGCACGGCCTTGGTAACTTAAACCACAACCCCGCAGACCTGCTGGTTCGGTTCCCTGATCCAGCCATCCAGTCTTTGCAGGTGACACAGAGATCAACAAAGAGGGGACCTGCCTACATGGAATGAACTGAAGTTACATTCCATGTCGGCAGGAATCCACGCCTCTTGGTTTACTAACTAAAACAATGCCTAGGCACAGGCATTTGCTCCATGTTTACTTGAATCACACTGGACCATGGATATGTCTGCCTGCAGAACGTCTTGCACATTCAGGCCGAAGCATCACTCCGGAGGGCACCTAGGCAAGGCGTCACTGTACCCAAATCTAGTCTTCTTTCCCTTTTCAAGTAAGAGCCCCGTCTTGTTGGAGACATTATATCAATTCAAACGCTTTCCATTTTGCTTTTTTAAAATTAGCAGCATTGGGCCCAGCGCGGTGGCGCAAGTGGTTTAAGGTCCTCGCCTTGCACGCCCGGGATCCCATATGGGCGCCGGTTCTAATCCCGGCAGCCCTGCTTCCCATCCAGCTCCCTGCCTGTGGCCCAGGAAAGCAGTCGAGGACGGCCCAAAGCTTTGGGACCCTGCACCCGCGTGGGAGACCCGGAAGAGGCTCCTGGCTTCGGACCGGCATAGTATCAGCCCGTTGCGCTCACTTGGGGAGTGAATCATTGGACGGAAGATCTTCCTCTCTGTCTCTCCTCTCTGTATATCCGCCTTTCCAATAAAAACATAATAAAAAAATAAATCTTTAAAAAAAAAATTAGCAGCATTGTGGCACAGCACACAAGCTGCCACCTGCGGAGCAGCCACCCTTATGGGGGTGCCAGTTCAAGTCCATTTCGGATCCAGCTCTCTGCAGGGGGTGAGCCAAGTGTCCGGACTCCTGCTACTGTCATGAGAGTCCCACACAGACCGCCTGACTCAGCCCTGACCATCGCCATTACATGAGGAGTGAACTAGCGGATGGAAAAATCTCTCCCAGACGGCCATAACCCATGCCTCCAACAACCAATGAACAGAAATGAGCTGATCTGGAGCTTCTTCCTGGCATCCCATGAGGGCAGAGGGGCCCCCCAGCCTTTGCTAATCTTCCCCTGCTTTACTCAGACTGTCAGCAGGAAGCTGGATCAGAAGTGCAATAGCTGAGGCTTGAGCACGCAGCTGTATGGGTTGCTGGCCCTGTAATCTTAAGTATCACTGCTGTAAAGGCAAGTGTCATTGACCCACAGAATTTTCTGGCTTTCCAGAGAATGGACATGGGAGCTAGATAGAGGAATGAGTGCATTTAGATTTTGGCTACTTTGTTGTATGTTAGAGTTCAATGAGTTTTTACAAATAAAAATATAGGGACAGATGTAGATGAAGCTACTGCTTATGGTGCCTAAATTTCCACATTAGAATGCTTGTTCTAGTCCCAGCTCCTCTTTGCTGCCAGTCCAGCCTGGAAATGGGTCGAGTGTTTGGTCCCCTGTCACCCATCTGGGAGACCTGGATGAGGTACTTGAATTTGACCTGACCCAGCTGCAGTCATCTGGGAAATGAATCAGCAGATGAAGGATCTGGCTCTCCTTCTTCTAACTCTGACTTTCAACTACAATCTAAGCAACATGCAGCAATGATGAGGGTTGGCAATGAGGCATAGCACATTAAGCTGCTGCCTGTGGTGCTGGCATCCTGTATGAGCCCAGTGACTCCACTTCCAATCCTGCTCCTTGCTAAATCACCTGGAAAAGCAGCAGCAGAAGGCCTAGAAAAGCTTGGGCCTCTGCCACCCAGGTGGGAGACTCAGAAGACATTCCTGGCTCCTGATTTCAGCCTGGCCCAGCTCTGGGCCATTGTGGTCATTTGGGTAGCGAGCAGATAGAAGATCTCTCACTCTCTCTCTCTGGAACTACACCCTTCAAATAAATATTTTTTTAAACACTGTGTGTGACACATAATAGCTGATAATTAATGACCTCAGAGGAATCTCACATACCTGTGACAAACTCACTGAAGACTAGTCTCACAGCTGCAAGTTCAAGGTAGGTTCTGAAAATGATAGAGTACAGACTCTGTTCATAGGAAACCTAAACAAAGTCCCCTTTCAAACTGCAGCTCCCTGGGTTCATGGTTTAGCTGTCATGTTTCCCCCAAGAGCAGAGATTTTAAACTACAAAATAACTAATTTCAGAAAGCTGCATGGCTCAGCTGGCCGATTTTTTTGTATCACCAGCATCCCACATGGGCACCAATTCATGTCCCAGTGGCTCAATGTTCGATCCAGCTGCCTATTGTGGCCTGGGAAAGCAGTGGAGGTGAACCAAAGACTAGGCCCCCTGCAC